AATAATTATTAGTAAACCCCAAACATTTGATATGTATACACTATAAATGTCTACATCAATCATCTAGCACTATTTGGTTGCTGGAGGGCACCATAGGCCACAATATCTCTTAATAGATTATAAGCCATAAAAATTAAAAACGGTTTTATAAAATTATTACTACAATAACAGTAAAAATTTTACAAAAATAAATAACTTACTTAAATAGGGAATAAACAATGTAATCAAATGTAAAATAATTACATTTTTTTATGATAAACAGGTAACACATAATTATAGCATTTATAGATAGATGACCATGATTCATTTAACATACACAGCGCTGTATTCATTATCCAAACACGCGGTCGTTTCCGGTGTGGGTTCCACTGGTAGGACAATAGGCTTCGGGTGCCGAACAACGAGATAGGCGTAGATCGTGGCCAAAGTGAACGGCACTAATACACCGCCCACTGAGCGAAACCTCGTGTCACCCATCAGTAATTCAGTGGTCAAATAAATTGCAAATACCACTGCGACCATGATGCATTGCTTGGGCCACTCGCTAAAAGTGACCACCACAAAATACGACATCATTATTATAGTCGCTATAGTTATCGCCACGTAAGGTCCCTGCCCTGCATTATGATATATAATAAATAATGTTTATATTGAAATGAATAATTGATCAATTATACCTAATAGTATAATTAATTTTGCGTAAATTGTTGATTAACCTGTAATATAATTATTCTCTCTCTCTCTCTCTCTCTCTCACTCACTCACTCACTCTCTCAATCACTCACTCACTTACTTTTTAATTATATAAGTTATAAATTAGTAATTATCGTAAAACATTTACTTTTTGTTTAAAAATTGATCAATACATTCCTACATTCATATAAAAACAATAATTATAAAATTAATTTATATTAGAAATGTTTACTTAATTACACACAAAGGGAGACAACGAAGTAATTAATATAATTGTAAATTAAAACATACCTAGATATTCTAGTCGCTCATAATTAAACGATAAGTCCCGGTAGGTGACATTATATGACTCAACAATGTCGGCACCAACATTATTGTAGTAAACGAGACCAAATATCATACTCTCCAGTGCCAAAACAATCTCGGCAATATAAGTATAAATAAGTATACATTTTAAAAAGCATCTGGCAAAGTTTAATTTATCCGTGATATGATAATTATAGATTGCTCGTACATGTTTCATAATGATAATTTAATAACTAATAATTAATAAATAAATATTACAAAATTATTTTATACGTATACTAACAATATTCTGTATACAGTATAGTATATTCAGTATACAGTATATTCTGTATACAATATTTTGTATATCAATGCAGTTATTCTGCGCTCAAATTCTGGAGCATGTATTATGAGAGTCTGCGCAACACATTAGGTAATTAAATAATATTCAAGGTTGTTTTTGTTTTGTTTTTTAATAAAATTATTTAGCGTATGATTTAAAAATACATTATATTTTCACTTATGATAATTAATAGATTATTACATTGAAATAGCATTTATAATTATCAAA